TATTTTCAAATAAGTTCTTAAACTTATTTTTCTAGAAACATAGAACAGTAAGTAAAGTAGTAAAGCAAACAATTATCTCTTCTAGTTACAACCTTTGTACTCGGCTGCTGCTTGATGTAGGATGCTAAGCCTTGTAAAATTTTGCATGTAGAGGATATGAAACAAAATAATTTTATTTAGGTTTTATATATACAGTTGAATAACCAAAAATCATAAATTGCTATATCAATATCATAGAATTCCATTGTAATTTATCAAGTTTACTAACTAAGCTGTATTTCAGTCTAAAAAAATATTACATTTTTGAGAAGACTAAAGAGACAACCTACCTCATTGAAATTGTGGTTCAAAAGAAATAGATGACTTTTAAAGATATTAAAATGGCTGAGAAAGCCACTAGGGGGGCATTCTGAGCTTCTAATTGATTATTCATGTTATATATAGAAATAAGTGTATATAAGGGAGCGTTTCCAAAAATGGAAAGAGTTGGGCAGGGTGCCACTGTGTTTGATTTATTACATGAGCAATATCTTAGCAAATAGAAAAGATAAGACATTCTTATTTTATATTCTAGCTCAGCGTTTCCCAAACTATGGGTTGTGACCCACTGGTGGGTCGCAAGCAGAATGTTAGTGGGTAGTAAAAAGTTATACTAGAATTACGCATTAGCTTCGATTAAACGCTGTCTGTCGAGATAGTTCAAGACTCGGGCTTTCATTGCCAGGCTGTTGTTGTATCAAGCAGTATGTTGTTTTGACGAGCTTAACGAATCAGGGTTGATCATGCTCTCAATTTAATCATTCGTCATCGTAAAAAGGAAATCAATTTTCACCTATTCATACAGTACTTTAGCTATAGTACCGCAGAATTTTAACTTTTGATTATTGATATCAATAGTTTTTTTTATTTCTAGATATCCTTTGTAAGTAGATATCTAACCTTTGGTTACAGAATTTTAACTTTTGATTGAAATAGCATAGGCGTAGGAGCCGGGGGCGCATTATATCTACATATAATCAAAGGATACCTAGAAATATAAAAAACTATAGATATCTATAATCAAAAGTTAAAATTCTGCAATCAACCGACAAAACAAATCAAAAGTTAAAATTCTGCAATCAAAAGTTAGATATCTGCATTCAAATGACAGAAATCTACAATCCATTGTTCAGATTCTGCAATCAACTGATAAAACCGGTACAACGCTTAGCGAGACGATAACTGCTTCGAGGCTTCACGGGGCAGTCGCGCGTGCGTCGTGTCAGCCAATGAAATGACTGGAATAGACGTGTGAAGTGTTTTGGCATGAGCGTGATCCTACGCCAACTGGTGTTTTAATTGTGTCAAATCGAGTGGCAAGTCGAAATTGTCTGTTTTACTTCTGATTTTGAATCCGATTTTTTTTCGAATTTACTCAGCCCTTCGTATAATGGATAAATGGTTAAAGAAGTCAGTTGAAGTTGATGACAATGAGTCTTCAGTGAATCAAAACGAAGAAAAGTGGTGAGAAAGTATGATTCCAAGTACTTAGAAATGGGATTTACATGGAATGGAGATGAAGAAGATCCACGACCACGATGTATTATTTGTTGTGATCAACTTGCAAACGAGAGCATGCGCCCAAACAAATTGCGTCGCTATATTGAGACGGACCATCCCGAGTTGAAAGACAAACCCCTCGCATTTTTTGAAAAGATGCTAAGCAAGTTGAAGACAGGACAGAGCGTTATGCAACGTTACACCAAAATTAATGAAAAATCTTTGTACATGTCCTACCTGATCAGTTTGAGAATCGCGAAAGCTGGTAAGCCACATACGATTGGAGAAACTTTAGTTCTTCCAGCTATAAAAGATACAGTTAAAGTTTTCTTTGGTGATAAGAGTGAACAAGAAATTGAAATAATTCCTATTTCTAATAACACGGTCACGCGTAGGATTGATGAAATGTCTCGATGGATAGAAAATCAGCTAATTCAAAGAGTTCGTGAAAGTACAATTTTCTCCTTACAACTAGATGAATCTACTGACGTACAAGGTCTGTGCCAGCTACTTGTTTTTGTGCGTTATATATGGAACTCCGAACCTCATGAAGATATGTTGTACTGTGAACCAGTCAGTCGAAGTACTAGCGATGATATTTTTAAGACTGTTGATACTTATGTCAAAACAAAAGGTCTTGATTGGAATAAATGTGTCGGAAAAACAGTGGTCTGGAGACCAGAATACTTGAACTTAATCCAAACGCATTATGGACTCACTGCAACCTTCACAGAACAGCGTTAGTATCAAAATGTATATCTGATGATTTTAAAAATGTTTTGAACACTTCCATTAAAATAGTGAACTTAATAAAGTCAAAACCATTGCAATCGCGCTTATTTGAGAAGTTGTGCGAAGAAATGGGAAGTAATCATAAATTACTTCTTCTGCACACAGAAGTACGTTGGCTCTCGAGGGGTAAAGTGCCAACAAGACTTACAGAACTCCGCGAAGAAGTTGCTATATTTCTGGAAGGTAAAAGCGATTATGCGAGATATTTGCGCAACGAGGAATTTGTTCTGAGGCTCACGTATTTGGCAGATATTTTTTCAAAACTAAACGAACTGAATTTGTACTTGCAAGGAGCAGGAGGTATCAGTATATTCGCAGTTCATGAGAAAATTCGAGGTTTCATGAAAAAACTTGTTCTATGGAAAAACTGTATTGACAACCGAAATTATGACTGTTTTGAAACATTTCAAACCTTTGTAATGGAGAATGAAGCAAAAGTTGATAACGATATAATCATTGAGATATCTGAACACTTGAATAAGCTGAAAGAGAGTTTTAAGTTTTCTTTCCTTGAAGAAATGAAAAATATCCAAGAGAAAAAATGTATTATGAACCCCTTTCAGCCTGACATAACG